AAACTGTACTACAAAGCAGTAATAATTAAAACAGCATGGTACTGGAACAAAGGCAGAACTGCAAACCAATGGAACAGGGTTGAATACACTGACATCTCCCCTCAATCATCTGATCATCTAATCTTTGATAAAGGTGCAAGTAATGTGAAGTGGAGTAAGGAAAGCCTCTTTAACAAATTGTGCTGGCATCACTGGACGGCTACTTGCAAAAAAATGGGCTCAGAACTCTGCCTAACACCATGTACAAAAGTAAGATCAAAATGGATTAAAGACCTCAACATCAGACCAGAAACCATAAGGTACATTGAAGATAAAGTTGGCAAAACCCTCCATGACATTGAAGCTAATGGTATCTTCAAAGATGCCACGCCACTGGCCGAGCAAGTGAAAACAGAGATAGATAAATGGGACTATCTTAAACTAAGAAGCTTCTGCACCTCCAAAGAAACAGTGACCAAAATACAAAGACAGTCTACAGAATGGGAAAGGATATTCTCCGAATACACATCTGACAAGGGGTTGATATCCAGGATATACAAATTACTGGTTAAACTCCACAAGAAGAAAACATCCAACCCCATCCAAAAATGGTGCAATGAAATGAACAGAAACTTTCTCAAAGAAGAAATCCGAATGGCAAAAAAGCACATGAGAAAATGCTCTACATCATTAATCATAAGGGAGATGCAGATCAAAACCACAATGAGATACCATCTCACACCTCAGAGACTGGCCCACATCCAAAAGAACAAAAGCAACCGATGCTGGCGCAGATGTGGCGAGAAAGGGACACTCCTTCACTGTTAGTGGGAATGTCGACTGGTTCAGCCCTTCTGGAAAACAGTATGGACGATTCTCAAAAAATTAGAAATTGAAGTCCCATTTGACCCAGCAATACCACTCCTGGGAATATATCCCAGAGAGGCAAAAATGTATAGTCGAAGTGACGTCTTCACTTGTTTGTTCATTGCAGCACTCTTTACAATAGCCAGAAACTGGAAGAAACCTGAATGCCCAAGAACAGATGACTGGTTAAAGAAACTTTGGTACATCTACACAATGGAGTACTATGAAGCTATTAGAAAAGATGAAGTCATGAAATTTACATACAAGTGGTACAACATGGAAAGTATCATGCTAAGCGAAATGAGTCAGAAAGAGAGGGATAGACATAGAAAGATTGCATTCATCTGGGGGATATAAAGTAACAAAATATGAGATTAATACCCAAGAATAGCTGAGATCAGCACCAGGAGGATTACTCCATAGCTTAGTGGCCAGTCGGGCATTCTAGAGGAAAGGGCAGCTCAGATAGAGAAGGAGCACCAAATAAAGGGTGTTTGGAGGATCCTCCCAGGAGGGGAGATGCATGTCGAAAGTAGACTATGGACTGAACATGTTTGCCACCCAATGCCTCTTTTGCAGACCACAACACCCAAAAGGAGAGAGAGAACACAGGGGATTGCCCTGCCACAGAGACAGGGGGGATGGGGGAATGGGGGTGGGGGGGATATTATCCATGGTGGTGGAAAATGGGCACTGGTGGAGGGATGGGTATCTGATCATTGTATAATTGAAACCCAAGCACAAAAAATTGTAAATCTACAACTGTACCTCATGGTGTTTCACTAATAAAAAAAATAGGATTATGGGGTCTGGAGAGATAGCACAGCGGGTAGGGTGTTTGCCTTGCACGCAGCCAATCCGATTTCGATTCCCAGCATCCCATATGGTCCCCCAAGCACCGCCAGGAGTAATTCCTGAGTGCATGAGCCAGGAGTAACCCCTGTGCATTGCCCAGTGTGACCCAAAAATAAAACAAAACAAAACAAAAATAGAATTATGGGGTTGGGTCGATAGTACAACGGGTAGGGTGTTTGCCTTACACGGGGCCAACCCGGGTTCAATCCCCAGCATCCCATATGGTGCCCCAAGCACTGCCAGGAGTAATTCCTGAGTGCAGAGCCAGGAGTACCCACTGGACATCACCAGGTGTGACCCAAAAAGTAAAAAGAAAAAAAGAAAACTAGCTGCCATACTGTCTGCCATAGAGGCAGGAGGTGCATGTGGGTAGGGGGCAAGAGGGAAACAGGGGACATTTTCCCCTGAGGTTCCGGTAGTCTGTCAGCTAGCCTGTCATGCCCACAAACTGCCTCTGGCGCCATATAAGCTCATTAACAACCACAATCTAGAGTCTCACAAATAAATCTCTCAGAAAAGAGCAACACAAAAGCAACATGCTATACAGATGGATCCAAAGTCACCATCCAGTTTTTAAAAAAGAATTTAATTAACCTCAGCTATATCACCATATTTAAAATTTTAGAATTCCCAGAGGGACATTTTATTCTCTGCACCACTGATGTACCAAGGGTAGCACACCCCACTTGATGGGGTGTAAAGTAGATAGCAACCAATCTCAGGGAGAAAAAAAAATTTTTTATAACTACACAAGTCTCAACCTGTAACAACATCTTATACAAGGGCTCCAGATTGAGATACAATAATCTTCACACACTTTCCTCTAAGAAAACTTTTTGGGATCATTTTTAGTGAATTGTTCATAAGCAATATAAAATAAATTATTTAGAATCTGCTTTTGGGGCAGGCTTGGGTGGTGATGGGAAAATTTGAAATAACAGCGGTGGAATATTTAATGTAATAAATTATTGTGAACAACTTTATAAAAATAAAATAAAACAGCAAGATAGGCATCTAATGAATTCTGTTGTTGCTATTGAATATTTCTTAAGATTCAAGTGCCCTAAGTCCCCAGAAGTGACCTCTCTCAGTCACAATAAACCCTCCACATAATTGTTGGAGAAATTAAGAGGGACCATCCCCTGGACATTTAAATATGAACAAAACTATATGAAGTAAATCAGAAAGAGAAGACAAATACTTAATGATTCCACCCATTGGTGGAACATAAAAAAATAAAGCAGGAGATCAGACAAAACCAAACCTATCTGTGGCATTGGGTTCAGGGCCCAGGACTGAGATTGTCACGGGGGTGAGGAGAGAGTAAGGGCCCAAAGGACAAAGGTACCCAACAGACAATGACGAGGAATCCCAGTACTGCAGTGACGGGTATAGTACAACAAACTTCTTTTGAAGAGGAGCCGAAAAGCAGTCCTGACACACAGGAGACAAAAACCACACTACCTTGGAGCTGAAACGATAGAACAGTGGGTAGGGCATTTGCCTTGCACGCAACTGACCCGGGTTCGATTCCCAGCATCCCATATGGTCCCCTGCACACCTTCAGGAGTAATTCCTGAGTGCAAAGCCAGGAGGTAACCCCTATGCATCGTCGGGTGTGACCCAAAAAAGAAAAAAATAAATAAATAAAGGAAACCATGCTACCTGACATCAAAATACAGGAGATACAGGAGCACATACAGACACTGGCATGAAAACAGCACACCAAGAAGCTGAAAGAGTAAATGAACAATGGAGCTGAAAGGGTCTGGGTGTATGCTGAGGACCCCAGGTGGGCACCATTCGGCTTTCAGACCACAGCCTGGAGCTCCCGTAAGACCACTCAGCTGGGGACACAAACACAAAAGAAAAGAATAAGTGAACAGCGGGACTCAATTTGGTCCTCCAAGCCGCCCCCCCCCCCTCGCCCCCGAGGAGTGCAGAGCTAGAAGAAAGCCCAAAGAAGACGAAGAAAGCATGAAGAAGATGAAGAAAGCATGAAGAAGACGAAGAAAGCATGAAGAAGATGAAGAAAGAATAAAGGAGGAGGAAGAAGAGGTGGAGGAGAAGGAGGAGGAAGGGGAAGGTGAGAGGGGAGGAGGAGAAAGAGGAAGGGGAGGAGAAGGAAAAGAGGAAGAGGAAGAAGAATTATCAACCCCATGTGATATAAAATATATACATATATATTATAATGTATGAGACTAATATCCAAGGTGAGGATAAACAGGGGCCAGGAGGACAGGTCAATGGTTGGAAGCTTACACAAGAGTGTGTAGGGGGTGAAGGGCACAGGTAAAGGGATATACCTGGTAACCTTTCATTATCTGTATTGCAACCCATAAGGGCCAAAAGGAAAGAGAGGGGAGGGGGGCTATAGCAATAGTACAGCAGGTAGGGCATTTGCCTTGCATACAGCTGACCCGGTTTCGATTCCCAGCATTCCCTATGGTCCCTCGAGCACCAAGAGGAGTAATTCCTGAGTGCAAAGCCAGGAGTAACCCCTGTGCATCGCCAGGTATGACCCAAAAAGAAAAAAAAAAGAGAGAGAGAGAGAGAAAGAGAAAGAGAAGAAAAGTGCCTGCCATAGTGTCAGGCAGTGGGACAGTGGGCATGGGGGCAGGGGAACTAGGACCATTGGTGATGGGAAAAGCACACTGGTGAACAGATGGGTAATAGAACATTCACAGTCATGGTCACGGTCCTCCCGTTCTTCATCGATTTGCTCAAGCAGGCCCAGTAACGTCTCCATCATGAGACTTGTTGTTACTGTGTTTGGCATATTTAATACGTCATGGGTAGCTTGCCAGGCTTTGCCATGTGGCGAGATACTCTCGGTAGCTTGCTGGGCTCTCCGAGAGGGGTGGAGGAATCAAACTCCAGTCGGTCATGTTGGCTGCGTGCAAGGCAAACGCCCTACCCGCTGTGCTATCACTCCAGCCCAATAGAATATTATATGACTGAAATCCAATCATAAATAACTTCGCAAATGTATATATCACTGTGATTCAATTAAAAAAATAAATGGGAAAAAAAGAAATACAGGACACATAGCAAGTGGAAAAACAGTTAAGACTCAACTCCATGTTTTATTGTTTTGAAGTGGGACGTGGGGCACTCCCTGTGACACAGAGGCCACCCAGGCCAGTGGTTCAGAGCAGGGCCCAAGGGCAGCCACCAGGTCTGTACCCAGCAGGACAGGGGCTCAGACGGGGTTTTAGCTTCCCAGCCCCAAGAAAAACAAAGTTTAATGTGTTTTACATCAGAAAAAAAAAAAGAAAAAGGAAAAACTCATTTCTTACCTGAGACAAAGTAGACACAGAGCTTCCTAGAATGCAGCACAGCCAAATGAAGCAATTCAGTACCTCTGGGGAAAGGGGAACAGTTTTAGGTTAATCTTAGTTTTGGAGGTAACAAAAAACTATGCAAAACCATTTAAAGAAACTTTGAACTGCAAGACATCATGAGGAAACAGTTCACTAGATAACATCCTAAAATGAAAGATAAACGTCATCTGAAACAATGTGACCATCCTGGAGAGTCTGCCTGTCAGGCAGAAGCCAATGGGACTTCCCTGGAGAGTGAGTCCGGGAGCCTCTGGCACTCTGCTAGCACCCTCTGTGACCCCTGATTTTTGACTAATGAATCTGTAAGGCAGTCTCCTGCCCCCGCGCCTGGCTGTCCTTGCCGGGGCCCGTTGGAGGGGAGCGGGTTGAACTTTCCTCCCTGCCCCGACCAGGGCTCCGGCAGCCGAAGACCTCCAGGACCAGCCACCACCATGCTGAGACCACTCTCCGCACACATGAAGGTACTGGCAGAGAGACAAAGCCACGCGGGTTCCGGGGCCGAGATCTCCAAGCCTACTCGGATTTGGGCTGAGCATCCTCCACCCACATCCCCCAAATTCCAGTAGGCGGGGGGTCACACCCACCACCTGGCCCCCTGGCGCCGTGTAATCCCATCAGCAGCCAAGACTCAGAGACTATAAAAACCAGCTCCAGGAACCGCACGGCTGCATTCGCGGCCGCGCGACATCTTATTATGACATCTTATTATCTCATTCCTACTTTGGACAAACTGGCAGGCTACCGAATTTAGCCTGTCCACACGGCAGAGTCTGGCAAACTCCTCGTGGCGTACCCAATATGCCAAATACCACTAAAAAGCGTTGAATATAATCTCAGGGCTAGGATGAAGGAGACGTTACTGGGGCCTGCTCGAGGCAATCGACGAATAACAGGATGATTTGTGATTGATTGTAAATCTGTAAACTTTGACAAATATGCAAATATCTGCACCTGATTTTCTCTATGGGAAACAAAAGCTTCCCATTAGATTTTTTTTAGACTTGTAAAAGTGCCAAGTTAGGGTCAAAATGCCACAGAATAACAATCATTAGTAGAAACCACACCATTCATTCATTCCACCTCTGAAACAGGGCCAGGGACAGGGAAAGCTGGCCACACCTGGCTGTGCACAGAGCTTACTCCTGCCTCTGTGCTCAGACACTGAGTTGGGCTTGCGGGACCAGATGTGGTCCAAGGATTGAAGCCAGGTGGACGGTGTGGAGCAAGTCCCTTCAGGCTCTCCGGCCCCTCCAGTGCCTGCTCTGAAATTTTCACAACGCTACCGAAACATTTCATGGTGGGCCATAGTTTCAAGTAGAAATAAAGTGCCACTGTCACGACACTTCCAGGTTCCTCCCAAATGGTCTCCTGAGTAGGACACAGCCTAGAAATCAGACCAGCGACATCTTCAAGGATCACACCCGGGGTGTAGACAAGGACAGGGTGAAATGACTGAGACCAGGAAGAGGCCTGGCCCCAGGGACCAGGCTACCCGAGGTGAACAGGGCTCAGCTCTGAGCCACAGAGTCACACTCGCCAGGAAAAGCCAGAAAGCAGGAAGGTCTCCTGGTTCACATATGTTGCCTACTCATATCTGAAATGCATCAGTAGCCAATCTCTGGGATGGTTGTGTACCATCTCTGGTCCTCTAATACACACTCTGTTGTAAGGAACAACCTCTCAAGTCTGAACGCCAAGAATGAGGTCCTGGGACTGGAGCTATAGCACAGCAGGTAGGGCATTTGCCTCGCACTTGGCCAACCCAGGTTCGATTCCCAGCATCCCATATGGTCCCCGGAGCACCTCCAGGAGTAATACCTGAGTACATGAGTGCATGAGCCAGGAGTAACCCCTGTGCATCACCAGGTGTGACCCAAAAAGCAAAAAAAAAAAAAAGAGATCCTGACATTTGAGCCTTGATATTTATATTATCATTTTATTTTTTGGTTGGTTGGTTTTGGGTCACACCCAGCAATGCTCTGCACTCAAGAATTACTCCTCGAAGTGTATAGGGACCAAATGGAAGACATACGAAGCAGCTGCCCTATCTGCTATACTATTGCTCCAACCTGATCATTTTACTTTGAGTGTTAGATTCTATTTACAAAAGAAGAATTGTAATAGATAATACCTGTAAAACAGTGTTAGAAAGTGTATAAATATTCACCACTCCCTCTATCAGCATAAAATGCAAATATGCATAACTGTCCTGCACTATTACCTACAAAATCCTTTTCAATGGTTCCTGAACTCTGAAACCAACTTCACATCATGCACAGGTAAAAAGCATGATGTGGGGCTGGAGCGATAGCACAGCGGGTAGGGCATTTGCCCTACATGCGACCAACCCAGGTTCGATTCCCAGCATCCCATATGGCCCCCTGAGCACCACCAGGAGTAATTCCTGAGTGCAGAGCCAGGAGCAACCCCTGTGCATTGCCGGGTGTGACCCAAAAAGCAAAAAAAAAAAAAAAAGCATGATGTCAGAGAAAGCGAGTAAAGTGTGGATTCAAACAGGCCTGACTCTCAATCCTGCCTGTGTGACCGTGAGCCCTGAGTGCTGCTTCGTTTCCTGATTTCTAAGTGCAGATCACCTCTGGGACCTGGAGAGATGGTTCAGCAGGTAAGGCACTTGCTTTGTGTGCACCCAACCTGGGTTCCATCACAGCACCATCCTGAGTCCCTACAGAAGCCCTAACCACCACACAGTGGCCCCAAAATCAAAACATGTGATAAATAAATGCATATCACACCTTACAGATGAGATCAACGAGAGATCCCTAGCTCACACTTGTACGACTCTGCAAACTCCAACTTTGCAATAAATATCCAAATTGATCATCATCTCACATAGACAACTGTACAGACAACCAGGACAGCATTTTGTTTGTTTCATTTTGTCTTGGGGCCACACCTGGCAGTGTTCAGGGTTTACTCCTGGCTCTGCACTTAGGGATCACTCTTGGCAAGCTTGGGGGGGCATATGTGATGACAAGGATTGAACCCAGATCGGTGACATGCGAGCCAAGCGCCCTTCCCACTGTACTGGCTCTCGTACCCAGAATAAGCATTTCACATCATTAAAAAATAAAAAAGCAAAACTGGTTTTTAGAACCAAGAATTTTTTCTCCTTTGTAAATCCATCATGTTTAATATATCATCATCTAATATCATCATCTAATTATCCTCAGTTTTAAGCTAGAGTAGCTATTTACCACATGAGATCTGCCTAATTAGCCCTGTGACTATGCATGAATGTCCCATCTGACTTTTAGCGTCCTCGATGCAGCAACGCCTAGAATGAAGCATGCCACTAAAAGGGAATCCACGCCTAGACGCGATGGTTCGCGTCTTCCCAGCAGCACTGTCCTGCATGAGCAGCGCCTGAGGTCAACAGACCACACTGAGCAAACGGAGTGAGCCAAGTCTAGAGCTCAAAGCATTCTCCCCAAGGAAGGCAACAAGAACCCAGAAGGTTGAAAATGGGCGGAGGAAGCAAGAGCTCCCTTTGCTCTTCCACAGTACTAGCTTTTATCTTTTTGCTTGGGGGCCACACTGGCAGTGCTCAGGGCTCACTCCTGGCTCTGCTCTCAGGGGGTCATCCCTTGTCTCCTTATGGGTTGGGGGACCAAACTCACGCTGGCCATATGCAAGACAAGCGCCCTACCTGTTACACTATAGTTCCAGCCGCGACCAATGCATTGTTCAAAATAAACTTCTCTGAAACAAAGATTTTAAAGGGAGAAGACTTACTTCGTGGGGTGAGCTGGCTTCTTTCAAGAAGCCAAGGACACCTTCACCCCAAACCAGTCATTCCTTTTTCATTTTTGAAGGAAAGGGGCTGGGAGAAAGTTCAGGAGTGCAGGGGGCATGTAAGGCATGTGTGAGTTTCATACTGGCACGGCCTGGCCCCCAAGCATGCCCAGCACTACCACTGCTGGGCAAAGCAGCGTGGTCCCACTGGGTCTGAGGTGCCCAAGCACTGAGCATGTCATCCGGCCCAACAGGTGAAATATTGCAGGGGTGGCCCCAGGTCTCCCTCAGCACATCCTGGTGGTGGAGGGAGGCAATAATCAACTGATCAAACAAGCTGTGATGGAAAATTAGTGGTATACACCTATGCCAATAGCAGCGATGCTGCCCTGCCCCTCTGTGTGATCACTCCCATATGCACTCAGAAATCTAGACTTATGGCTTGGGGAGAAGTGCTATAAGGGAATACTTTCTTTGTTTATCTTAATTTTATTGAATCACCATGAGATCATTACAAGCTTTCATGTTTGGTTTACAATCACACAATGATCAAACACCCATCCCTGCACCAGTACACATTCCCCACCACCAATATCTCCACCAGTATACATTCCCCACCACCAATATCCCCGGTATACCCCGCTTTCCAACCCTCCCCCCACCTCCATGGCAGACAATATTCCCCATACTCTCTCTCCACTTTTGGGCATTATGGTTTGCAATACAAACACTGAGAGGTTATCATGTTTGGTCCTTAATCTACTTTCTGCACACATCTCCTCCCGACCAGTTCCTCAAGCCATCATTTTCTTAGTGATCCCTTCTCTATTCCAGCTGCCTTCTCCCCTTTGCTCATGAGGCAGGCGTCCAGTTATGGAGTAATCTACCTGTCCCGTGTATCTACTATCCTTAGGTGTCAGCCTCACGTTATGTTGTTTTATACTCCACAAATGAGTGTAGTCCTTCTATGTCTGTCTCTCTTTCTGACTCATTTCACTTAGCATGATACTCTCCATGTCTATCCATTTATAAGCAAAGTTCATGACTTCATCTCTCCTGACAGCAGCATAGTATTCCATTATGTAGATGTACCAAAGTTTCTTTAACCTGCCATCTGTTCTAGGGCACTTGGGTTGTTTCCAGATTTTGGCTATTGTAAACAGTACCACAATGAACATATAGGTACAGATGTCATTTCTACTGTGGGTTTTTTTTTTTTGCATCCTCGGGATATATTCCAAGAAGTGGTATTGCAGGGTCATATGGAAGCTCAATTTCTAGTTTTTGAAGGACTGTCCATATTGATTTCCAGAAAGGCTGGGCTAGTGGGCATTCTGTAAGGGAATACTTTCTATTTCCTTATTTGGTTACCAATTCTCTAACCTGTGTTTCGCTTTAAGCATCTATCATTGGGCACTGTAGATCTGTACCTATAAAAAGAAGTCCTTAATCACTTTATTGCAAATACAGAAGTATGTAAAAAAGTGCTTAAGGAATGTCTAGGTAATGATACCCTGAAACTATACTGAATTCAAGACTAGCATAGGAATACTATTTTTCTTTGAAGAATCCATAAGTGACATCCTGACAGACTGGCATAATCCAAATAAGGTGAAATGCCAAAACCAGTGAATCATACTTACGAGACAAACTTGCCTACTTCCACCTGCAGGATAGGGCTCTGCAGCTGTACTTCTAGAAGCAGATCTTCAGCATGGGCTCCATCTCCAATTTTCACAGGATGGGGGTTGAAGATTCTTAGATACCCCATAAAGCTACCCACAATGATTTTATCTGCAGAGAGATTTTTTTTAAATAAAAGTTAGAGGAAGAAGCAAACAAGAGAAGCAAAATTTCTTTGAAAACATCTTTCTCGTGTCTAAACGGGAAATCTGAAACAAAAATAATCAAGTCCTATTTCATACACAAAGTTCATTCTACCAAAAGACGTCATTAAGACGAACTTACTTGAATAACATACAGCTTTTCAAAAATAGCTTTATATCACCAATTTTCATAAGCATTACCACAGTACATTTTTTCCTCAATCAAGCAATATTTCCAAAGGACTAATATTATAAACCTGTAAACTGATTTCATCATAGAAAATCAACTCTGCAGCTGGTATTTTTAATAAAAACACTGTATTAGAATTCTGAGGCTGTGATCAACCACGTCTAGTCTGGGTGCAGGCAAGTGGAGGGCAACAGAAGAGTTATGAACTGAATGTGTCCCTCTAAAACAAAAATATGTGATCGTAGCCCCATGCCTGTGCCATTCTTTGAAAACAGAGGTTTAGTTTTGTCTTTTTGGTACTGGGACTACATCTGATGGTGTGTAGGACTTACTCCTGCTCTGTGCTCAGGGATCACTCCTGGCAGGCTCTAGGTACCATCTGGGGTGTTGGGGACTGAACCCAGATCATGAAAGGCAAGCACCCTCTCTACTGCACCATCACGCTACCCTCTACTGTCTTTGAAAGATTAAACAAGTTCGGGCCATAGTGAATGCGGCCAATCCAGGTACCATCCCCGGCATCCCATATGATCCCCCCGAGCACTCCCAGGAGTAATTCCTGAGTGCAGAGCCAGAAGTAACCCCTGAGTATCACTGGGTGTGGCCCAAAAAAGCAAAATAAATAAATATATATATTTAATATTAAACAAGTTAAGGTGAGTCCCAGCTGGTAGATGATGGAACTCTTCCTATGTAAGAAGGGAAAAGAGAGCAGGAGAGAGGGGTGTCAGATAAGGACAGAGACATAGGAGTCAGAGACTACAGTGAAACTCTACAGAAATTCTACAAAAGTCAAATAATGTATAGGGTCACCGGAAGCTGGACATAGTGAATGACTCTAACGGGTCCATAGGTAGCGTGGGCCTGCCAGCCCCTGACCAGGAGAGGACGGAGTTCTCTGGCTGGTGGATTCAAAATTAAAATTGCAAACAAGTGTTCCTCAGGGCACACAATTTTTCTTTACAGGTGTTCTCTCTCTCTCCCTCTCTCCCTCTTCTCTCTCCCTCTCTCCCTCTCTTTCTCCCTCTCTCCCTCTCTCTCTCCCTCTCTCCCTCTCTCTCTCTTCCCTCCCCCATTCTTCTTTCTCTCCTTTCTCATATTTCCAAATCAAAACATTTACTTCAAAACTAATACTAATAATAGCATAAAATACCTTATAAAATTTTTCTGAGTTCTTACAAATAATATTTGCTCGAGCGGGCCCAGTAACGTCTCCATTGGAGACTTTTGTTGTTACTGTGTCTGGCATATCGAATACTCTCGGTAGCTTGCCGGGCTCTCCGAGAGGGGCGGAGGAATCGAACTCGGGTCGGCCATGTTGGCCGCTTGTAAGGCGAACGCCCTACCCGCTGTGCTATCGCTCCAGCCCAAATAATATGAAAATTTTTCCCACTACATATGCCATAGGAACCATAAGCTAACTTCTTAGATGGAAACTTCTCTAGTTTAGCTCACCCACTAGAAACACAGTAGCCAATAACTCATAAGCCTATCCTAACTCACACTGCATATCAAGCAGAACAGTAACAGTGAACGTGAAGGACTAAACCACACCTCTCACAATGGTAAAGCAACGCAAAAGCCCACCAAACTTTCATATTGAAGAGTCTAGCCCAGATGACACCAACAGTATTGTAGTGTTAGACAACCTCTCTGACAAGGAATTCAGAAGGGAGCTACTTGGGATGCTTAGGGAACTAAAAGAAACAATGGAAAGCAATGCCAATAGAAGACAAGAGGATCTGAAGGCAGAAATGAGGAAAATGCAATCGGAAATGTCAGACCTGAAAAATCTCGTAGGCGAATTGAAAAGCTCAGTGGAAGGCCTCAGCAGCAGAGTAAGAGCGGCTGAGAACAGAATCAGTGAGCTCGAAGATGAAGTTCAGAGACTCTCCAGAAAAGAGCAGAAAATGGAAAAGAGACTCACAATTCAGGAACAGATGGCAAGAGAAGATCGTGATGAAGCCAAGAGGGGTAACATAAGAATTATTGGAGTCCCAGAGGGACAGGAAGAAAACCACGATGAAGAAGAAACTGTCAAAGAAATCATTGCTACAACATTTCCAGAGCTGAAGAAAACTTGTGACCACATTCAGGAGGCCCGAAGGGTACCAGCTAGAAGAAATCCGAATAAAAATACCCCAAGACTCATTCTGATCAAAATGACCAAAACCTTAGACAGAGACAAAATTCTGAAAGCAGCAAGATCGTAGAAAGAAATCTCTTACAAAGGAGCATCCTTAAAATTCACAGCTGATTTTTCTGATGAAACCTTCATGGCCCGAAAACAGTGGTGGGACATAGTAAAAAAACTCAATGAAATAAATGCCTCCCCAAAAATACTTTTCCCAGCAAGACTCTCATTCATAATAGAAGGAACAACACACAGTTTCACAGACAAACAACAGCTCAGGAACTTCATAGACTCAAAACCATGGTTACAAGAACAACTAAATGGGCTACTTTAAGGCAAGAAAGGCCCCTCAAATACACCAAATTTTAACAGAACAATGGGACAAAATCCCATAACAATAATCTCTCTCAATGTCAATGGGCTAAACGCACCAATTAAAAGACATAGAGTGGCAGGATGGATTAGAAAATTGAACCCAACATTCTGCTGCCTGCAAGAAACGCATCTCAATAGTCAAAGCAAACACAGACTCAGAGTCAAAGGCTGGAAAACAATCCTACAGGCAAACAGCTCCCATAAAAAAGCTGGGGTAGCCATCCTTATATCAGACCACATCGATTTCAGAGTGAGGAAGGTCATAAGAGACAGTGAAGGCCATTTCTTATTGATCAAAGGATCTGTACAACAGGAAGAACTTACAATAATAAATGTATATGCACCTAATGAGAGACCAGCAAAGTACTTAAAACAACTACTCATAGATTTGGAAAAAGACATCAATAGCAACACAATACTAGTGGGAGACTTCAACACTGCTTTGTCACCTCTTGATAGATCAACCAGACTCAAGCTTAGCAAGGACATACTTCATTTGAGGGAAACAATGGAAGAAAGGGACTTAGTAGATATATACAGGACACTTCATCCACAAAAAGCTGAATACACATTCTTCTCAAGCGTACATGGAACATTCTCCAAGATAGACCACATGCTGAGCCACAAAACATGCCTCCATAAAATTAAGAAGGTAGAGATTGTATCAACAATCTTCTCAGACCATAATGCGCTGAAATTAGAAGTAAATCACACACAAAAACAGAAAACTAAATCAAACACCTGGAAATTAAACAGTGCACTATTGAACAACGAGTGGATTAGACAGGAAATCAAAGAGGAAATCAAAAGATTCCTAGAAACGAATGAAAATGAGAACACGAGTTACCAAAACTTATGGGACACAGCAAAGGCTGTGTTAAGAGGAAAGTTTATAGCTCTACAAGCATTCCTCAGGAAGGAGGAGCGAGCACACATAAGTAACCTAACCTCACAGCTTAAGAGCTTGGAGAAGGACCAAAAAAAGGAGCACAACCCGAACAGGAGAAAGGAAATAATAAAACTCAGAACAGAGATTAATGAGATGGAAACCCAAAAAACAATCCGAAAGATCAATGAAACCAAAAGCTGGTTCTTCGAGAAAATTAACAAGATCGATAAGCCTCTAGCAAAACTCACAAAGAAAGGGAGAGAGAAAACCCTAATAAACCGAATCAGAAATGAAAAGGGGGTCATTACAACAGAAACCACAGAAATTCAGAGGATCCTCAGGGAGTACTTTGAGAAGCTTTATGCCACGGAACATCAAAACCTCGAGGAAATGGATAAATTCCTAGACTCCTACAGACTCCCAAGGCTGAACCAAGAAGACCTGGAATACCTGAACAGACCTATCACCATCAAGGAAATTGAAATGGTAATAAAAAGTCTCCCCAAGCACAAAAGTCCTGGCCCGGATGGATTCACTAGTGAATTCTTCCAAATCTTTAAAGAGGACTTACTCCCGATGCTCTTTAAGCTTTTCCACGAAATTGAAATATCAAAAACACTTCCGAACAGTTTCTACGAAGCAAATATCACACTGATACCAAAAGCAGACAGAGATACCACAAAGAAAGAGAATTACAGGCCGATATCCCTGATGAACACAGATGCAAAGATCCTCAACAAACTACTAGCAAATAGAATCCAACTACTCATCAAGAAGATCATACACCATGACCAAGTAGGATTCATCCCAGGGATGCAAGGATGGTTTAACATTCGGAAATCAATCAACATAATCCACCATATCAACAAAAGAAAAGATAAAAAGCATATGATCATATCAATAGATGCAGAGAAAGCATTTGATAAGATCCAGCACCCCTTTATGATGAAAACCCTAGCCAAAATGGGTATAGAGGGGACCTTCCTCAACATAATTCAAGCCATCTACCACAAGCCTACAGCAAGCATCATCCTCAATGGGGAAAAACTGAGAGCCTTCCCTCTAAGATCAGGGACGAGACAGGGATGCCCACTCTCTCCACTGCTGTTCAATATAGTACTGGAAGTACTTGCAATAGCGATTAGGCAGGAAAAAGATATTAAGGGCATTCAGGTAGGAAAGGAAGAAATCAAGCTCTCACTATTCGCAGATGATATGATACTTTACTTAGAGAACCCAATAACTTCCACCAAAAACTCCTAGAAACAATAGACTCGTATAGTAAAGTTGCAGGCTATAAAATCAATACCCAAAAGTCCATGGCTTTCCTATACGCAAACAGTGAGAGAGAAGAAAGCAACATGAAAAAAACAATCCCATTCACAATTGTGCCCCAGAAAATCAAGTACCTAGGAATCACCTTAACTAAGGAAGTAAAGGACCTGTACAAAGAAAACTACAAAACGCTACTTCAGGAAATAAAAGAGGACATGAGGAAATGGAAAGATATCCCCTGCTCATGGGTCGGGAGACTTAACATTGTCAAAATGGCAATACTGCCGAAAGCATTGTATAAATTCAATGCAATCCCTATAAGGATACCCATGACATTCTTCAAAGAAATGGAGCAAACACCCCTGAAATTTATATGGAACAATAAACCCCCACTAATAGCTAAAGCAATTCTTGGGAAAAAGAAAATGGGAGGAATCAACCTCCCGAACTTCAAACTGTACTACAAAGCAGTAATAATTAAAACAGCATGGTACTGGAACAAAGGCAGAACTGCAGACCAATGGAACAGGGTTGAATACACTGACATCTCCCCTCAATCATATGCTCATCTAATCTTTGATAAAGGTGCAAGTAATGTGAAGTGGAATAAGGAAAGCCACTTTAATAAATTGTGTTGGCATCACTGGACGGCTACATGCAAAAAAATAGGCTCAGAACTCTGCCTAACACCATGTACAAAAGTAAGATCAAAATGGATTAAAGACCTCAACATCAGACCAGAAACCATAAGGTACATTGAAGATAAAGTTGGCAAAACCCTCCATGACATTGAAGCTAATGGTATCTTCAAAGATGCCACGCCACTGGCCGAGCAAGTGAAAACAGAGATAGATAAATGGGACTATCTTAAACTAAGAAGCTTCTGCACCTCCAAAGAAACAGTGACCAAAATACAAAGACAGTCTACAGAATGGGAAAGGATATTCACTGAATACACATCTGACAAGGGGTTGATATCCAGGATATACAAAATACTGGTTAAACTCCACAAGAAGAAAACATCCAACCCCATCCAAAAATGGGGCAATGAAATGAACAGAAACTTTCTCAAAGAAGAAATCCGAATGGCAAAAAAGCACATGAGAAAATGCTCTACATCATTAATCATCAGGGAGATGCAGATCAAAACCACAATGAGATACCATCTCACACCTCAGAGACTGGCCCACATTCAAAAGAACAAAAGCAACCGATGCTGGCGTGGATGTGGCGAGAAAGGGACACTCCTTCACTGTTGGTGGGAATGTCCACTGGTTCAGCCCTTCTGGAAAACAGTATGGACGATTCTCAAAAAATTAGAAATTGAGCTCCCATTTGACCCAGCAATACCACTCCTGGGAATATATCCCAGAGAGGCAAAAATGTATAGTCGAAGTGACATCTGCACTTTGTTGTTCATTGCAGCACTCTTTACAATAGCCAGAAACTGGAAGAAACCTGAATGCCCAAGAACAGATGACTGGTTAAAGAAACTTTGGTACATCTACACAATGGAGTACTATGTAGCTCTTAGAAAAGATGAAGTCATGAAATTTACATACAAGTGGTACAATATGGAAAGTATCATGCTAAGCGAAATGAGTCAGAAAGAGAGGGATAGACATAGAAAGATTGCATTCATCTGGGGGATATAAAGTAACAAAGTATGAGATTAATACCCAAGAATAGCTGAGATCAGCACCAGGAGGATTACTCCATAACTTAGAGGCCAGCCGGGTATCCTAGAGGAAAGGGCTGTCCAGATAGAGAAGGGAGCACCAAATATAGGATGTTTGGAGGATCCTCCCAGGAGGGGAGATGCATGTCGAAAGTAGACTATGGACTGAACATGTTTGCCACTCAATGCCTCTTTTGCAGACCACAACACCCAAAAGGAGAGAGAGAACACAGGGGATTGCCCTGCCACAGAGACAGGGGGGATGGGGGGATGGGGGTGGGAGGGATATTATCCATGGTGGTGGAAAATGGGCACTGGTGGAGGGATGGGTATCTGATCATTGTATAATTGAAACCAAGGCACAAAAAATTGTAAATCTACAACTTTAAAAAAAATAAAATAAAATAAAGGGGAAAAAAAAAAAAAAAAAAGAAAGTAGACTATGGACTGAACATGTTTGCCACTCAATGCCTCTTTTGCAGACCACAACACCCAAAAGGAGAGAGAGAACACAGGGGATTGCCCTGCCACAGAGACAGGGGGGATGGGGGGATGGGGGTGGGAGGGATATTATCTATGGTGGTGGAAAATGGGCACTGGTGGAGGGATGGGTATCTGATCATTGTATAATTGAAACCAAAGCACAAAAAATTGTAAATCTACAACTTTAAAAAAAAATAAAATAAAATAAAGGAAAAAAAAAAGAAATCAAAAAAAAAAAAAAAAAGAAAATTACCTGCAAAACTAGGGCATAATTATGACAGTTCATCAAGTTTTCCAAACTATACATTTTTTGTTAATTTACTTTGTACTGATAGAGGCCCTGTGGCTTATAATACTGTTAAGGTGCATTCCTGTGCACACTTTTAGAGTATGCTTATTATTTGGGTGGGGACACGCCAGGTCACAGTGTTACACAGGGGCCCATGTGGTACAGGGAGAGAGCCTGGGAATTCTGTGGGCAAAGCACCCCTTCCAGTCCTCTGAGCATCTCTCTGGCCCAGCAAAATCTTCCATGCCATCTGGGAAGCCAGTCTCCATCGGGCCGTACAAGCTTACCTTGGCCACTCCCCGTATTGTCCACATCAGCCAAACACAAACAGCCTTGATCAAATTCTTCTTTTTCTCCCAGAATAGTAGACCACCAATCACGGGCTTTAAATAAGGACATTTTTGTTCACTCTAGAAAAGAAAGCATCTGTTGTAATAAAACTCCAATTCACACACACATACACACACACAGAGACACACACCAAAAAAAACTCACACAATGGATTATTACGCTAATTATTAATTTACTTCGGTTTTGGTTTGGTTTGAGATAGCACAGCTGGTAGGGCATTCGCCTTGCACGTAGCTGATCCGGGATCTGGGTTCAATTCCTCTGCCCCACAGCAGAGCCTGGCAAGCTACCCGAGATGTATTCAATATGCCAAACACAGTAACAACAAGGCTCACAATGGAGACATTCGAGCAAATCAATAAATAATGGGAGGACAGTGCTACAGTGGTTTGGTTTGATGGTGCTCAGGGCTTACTCCTTCCTCTGTACTCAGGGATCACTCGAGGTGATACTTGGGGGATACAGTGCTAGAGATCAAATCCACATCAGCAGCTAACAAGGCAAGCGTCCTTCTATCTCTCCAGTGTACTATCTCTCCAGTCCAAATATTATTTCCTTTTGGGGTGGGGGCAGTGCTTTTTGGACCACACTCAGCAGTGCTCAGGAGTTACTTCTGATTCGGTACTCAGGGATCACTCCTGGTGGTGCTGGAGGGACCATATGGGATGCCAGGGATCATTTACCCGTAGGTTGGTTGCATGCAAGCAAGTGCCCTACGCACTGTACTATCTCTCTGGCCCCATCCATGATTCAAATTTTAACAGGGCTACTTAGTACGTAATTCTTTAGCAAAAGTTTGAACTTCCTCTCAGTTTGGTCTCTCTCCCATCACTAAGAAGTTGCAAAGAAATCCGATAGAAGGTGTCAAATGGCTGTCACTGGAATAGGGACATTAGAGACATTCAAAAAAAGCATCCCCGCCCTTCACACACACACACACACACACACACACACACACACACACACACATTCCAGTCACTGAAAGGCACAAGCCTTTGGCACAAAGGCACCCAGGAAGTCCACAACCAACAAGATGAAGGAGAACTGGGTGGGCTGTGGGCACGGCCCTACCACACTTTCTGGCCACCTGCATTAGTTGGGATGGGGGTGTGGGGCGGGCCCTCAGATTTCTCAGCCAGAACAAGGTCAGCATCCACCTACCCCAGAGCATCAAAGCATACGTCCCCCTGGCCTTCTGGGTAACACACCCGAGGGCTCTCGGAGAGTGCGAAGACGTCAAAGAATAAGGGTTTCCTTCCTGCTACTCTAATTGGGACCATGCAGAATGCGCCCAATTCTGCCCATGCCCAAAAGGTAAGCTCTGGGAGGTAGCAGCAAACATTTAATTAGGAAAAACTCAACCGCTGCTCACGGGGGAAATCAGAGGGGAGGCTCCTGAGAGACTCCAGTTACGTGTTCGTCAACCAGTCAATAGATGACTTTAGTTCTTATGTTGTTAAGTTGTTATGTCTTTAGTTCTTTAGTTGTTATGTTGGTTAAAAATATTTTGCAGAAACCACAGCACCCAAAAGGAGAGAACAAAAGGGAGTGCCCTGCGACAGAGGCAGGATGGAATGGGGGATGGGGGGGTGGGAGGGATACTGGGACTGGTAGGGGTGGAGAATGGGCACTGGTGGTGGGAGGGGTACTCGATCATTGTATAACTGAAACCCAAGCACAAAAACTTACATCTCATGGTGTTTCACTAATAAAAAAAATATATTTTGCAGAGCCGGAGAGGTGGCACAGCAATTTAACCGGTCAACCCAGGCTCAATCCCCCACATCCCATATGGTCCCCGCAGCATTGCTGGGAGTGATTCCTGAGTGCAGAACCAGGAGTAAGAAAGCCCTGAGCACCACCAGTGTGACCCCACAAAACACCTAAATAAATAAATAAAAATGCTTTCTTTGTGGCCAGAGAGATAGGACGGGTAGTGCATGTAGACACTGGTGTTGCCCGTGGCCAACCTAACCCAAAATAAAGAGAGTCCATTTCATATGACTTTAACTCACGAACACTGACACCAGCAGCCAGCAGCCAGCAGCCCTCACACTCACCCTGGAACAGTTTGCCTGGTGTGTGCATGTTCTCCACAGCCACACCCGGTGACCTGGAGCTTAGGAATGTGGGGCAGCACCTTAGCAATGTATCTGGGACTGGACTTCAGGGTGGGCACCTCCAACCAGTACGCAGGGTCATGCACAGTGACACGCGCAAACCAGCTGGCAGTTCCACACGGTGCTACTCAGCCCTGCGGTGCCAGGGACCATCAGGACAACCTCCTGGGTGCGAGAGCACCTCCAGACTACACCCTGACATGCCCCAGGCACCACATGGTACTGGGATCAAGCCCAGGTTGGGCACCTGAACCCTGCACTATCTTCCAGGCACTGGAGACTACTTTTGTTTTTTCGTTGTTGTTGTTTTGTTTTGTTTTGTTTTTTCACTGACTTACAAACTTCCATGATTACGTTTCAGTCATACAATGATGGAGTACCCATCCCTCCACCAGCCCATTCTTCACCACGGATGTTCCCAGAATCACTCCCGCCACTCCCACTCCCATTCCTCCCCTGACTCTGGCAGGTACATTCTCTCTCTCCTTTTGGGTGTTATGGTTTGCAATACAGGTACTAAGTGGTCATCATGCCGGGTTCATAGTCTACTTTCATCATGCATCTCCCATCCTGAGCAAGCCCTGGGGACTATTTTAAAAGGAAAGTCACAAATATATAAAAAAAAATCTTTTCTTTCTCTTTTGGTTTTGGTTTCTAGATCACACTCAGCAGTGCTCAATTCTTACTCCTAGCTCTATGCTCAGAGATTACTCCTGGTGGGCTCAGGGGACCACACATGATGCTGGGGATTGAGCCCGGGTCGACCGTGTGCAAGGAAAGCACCCTACCCGTTGTACTATAGCTCCAGCCCCAACATGAAAACAAATTTTTTTAAAGAACAAAGACATACTTCAGGGCAAATGCCACATTAAGCATGGAAAGGACAGTCTGTAGTGCAGGAACTGAGACAAGCAAACAGAATGGCTGTGCCAACAGCTGGGTACCCAAAAGCACTATGAGTATTGATCCACAGTCAAAAATACATTTTTAATTAGAGGACAAATGCACAGAGATGGAGTATATCTGTAAATAACTGTGGCAATCTAATAATCTAACGTTAGATTATTAGATTAGATTATTAGATTGCTACAGTTATTTGCAGATACTCCATCTCTGTGCATTTGCCCTCTTATTAAAAATGAGCAATAGCACAAAAATTTGTAAATCTACAACTGTACCTCATGGTGTTTCACTAATAAAAATCTAAAATAAATAAATAAATAAAAATGAGCGAGAGCACAGTGGTAGGGCATTTGCCTTGCATGCAGCCAGCCCAGCCGAGCAGGGTTCGATTCTTCTGCCCCTCTCGGAGAGCCCAGCAGGCTACTGAGAGTATCGCGCCCCCACGGCAAAGCCTGGCAAGCTACCCGTGACATATTCGATATGCCAAACACAGTAACAAGTCTCACGATGGAGACATTACTGGGCCCGCTCGAGCAAATCGACGAACAACGGGAGGCCAGTGACAGTGACAGTGACTATGGATCAATACTCATAGTGCTTTTGGAACAATGGGAAGACAGTGACAGTGACAGTATCACTACTGTGATTTTGATCCTGTGTAGGGATCTTGTGTGTGTGTGTGTGTTTTATTTTGTTTGGGGGCACACCCAGCAATGTTTAGGGGTTACTTGCAGCTTTGCATTCAGGAATTCTTCTTCAGAGTACTGGGGTACCATCTGGGATGCTGGGGATTGCAAGGCAAATGCCCTACACACGTACTATCTCTCCAACCCCTTCTAGGGTTCTCTTAAAGAAGAATACTTTCTACAGTGGCTGGACTGATAGCACAGCGGATAGGGCGTTTGCCTTGCACAAAGCCAACATGGCCGATCCGAGTTTGATTCTTCCGCCCCTCTCGGAGAGCCCGGCAAGCTGCCGAGAGTATCTCGCCCGCACGGCAGAGCCTGGCAAGCTACCCGTGACATACTCAATATGCCAAACACAGTAACAACAAGTCTCACGATAGAGACGGTACTGGGCCCGCTCGAGCAAATCGATGAACAACGGGAGGACCATGACTGTGACAGTGACTTCCTATGGTGAATTCCTCTTTCCTCCATTTGTCCTTTCTCCATGAAGGACAAAAGCAAATGCCCTTCAATGTGGAAACTTAAACAACTAGTGGACAACAAACTGAACCAAATTCAGTGTTTTTAAAAAATGAAATATAGCAACTAGAATAAATCTCAAGGACATTATGCTAAATGAAGAAGGGGGAACTCAACCCCAAAATGTCACAAATTTTTTTCTACCACATTTCAAAATGACACAACTATGCTGAAAAGAACAGATCAGGACTAGCACGGGTAAAAGACTTAAGGGCTACAAGAACAGATGACTGGTTAAAGAAACTTTGGTACATCTACACAATGGAATATTATGCAGCTGTTAGAAAAGATGAAGTCATAAAATTTGCTTGTAGGCAGATGGACATGGAGAGTATTATGCTAAATGAAATTAGTCAGAGAGGGACAGACATAGAATGACTGCACTCATTAGTGGAATATAAAATAACATAAGATGAGACGAACACCTAAGGACAGAAGAGATAAAAGCCAGGAGGATAGCTCCACAGTTTGGAAGTCTGCCTCATGTGCTGGGGGAAAAGGCAGTTGGGATGGAGAAGGGACCATTAAGTAAATAATAGTTGGAGGGATTGCTCGGGAGGGAAAGTGCATGCTAAAAGTAGAGTAAGGACCAAACATGATGGCCTCTCAGTATCTGTATTGCAAACCATAATGCCCAAAAGTAGAGAGAAAACAGGAAGATGCCTGCCACAGAGGCAGGGAGGTGGGATGGAGTGGGGATGGTGGGAGGGACACTGGGGACATGGGTGGTGGAAAATGAGCAAGGGTGGAGGGATGAGTGCTCAATCATTGTGTGACTGAAATTTAATCATGAAAGTCTGTAACTATCTCACACTGATTCAATAAAAA